GCTGGGCCTTCAGCGCGTTGATCTGCTCGATCTGCTCCCTCATCAGCGCTGAAAGGCTCTTCTTCTCTCCCCCCTGGTTGTGCTGAGCCGGGCCCTCCGCCGCGCGCCTTAATAGGCGAGGCTGGGTTAGTGGAAGCTGCTCCTCCTCCATGGGCGTCTCCTCCTCCTTGGACGGGTCGGCGATCACGCGGCTGTAGTCCCCCCGATTCTCCCCGCACACCGGGTTTGGTTTGATTAGACTGTTTTTGCACGTTGATTGCGGCCTGGGATCGGGGATCACCTCGGTGATGGTGCAGTTGAGAATCAGGCTGACGGACTTTGGTAGAGGACCCAGGGCTTTCAGCTGCCGCTGGTCCCTGCATGCGATCCGCTGCCCGCACCTCTCGCATGTCCACCACTTGCCGCGCTTGTTGGACCCTGATGAGATCTCCACCATGGGATGGCGGCAGCTCATCTGGCGCTCTCTCAAGCGTCGATCCGTCTCTCTGGTCTTGAGAGTGAAGAGACGCCGCGCATGAAGCATGTTGCGCAGCTCGCGACTGATCATGCACGTCATGCTCATTATCAGGGATGTCAGAATGATCCAATGCCTCTCGGGCAGATTGAGATCTACTGGTGCGTCGTTGTCCGTGAGAACATACTTCCCTGCGAACGCATGAACCGGAGTCCCTGACGCAGGCATCCCTCTCGGACAGGGCGGACAATCACTGATCGAGCGTCAACTGGTCCTTTTGCTTGAGCCAAGAGGATCTCCGGTGCGATGATGTTGCCAGGCGCAGATCCCCAAGAACGCGCCCGGATACGTCTGAATCGACAACCCATGGAAACTCCAAGCCCTCGTTTATCGGAAAGTCCCTGGAAAGCGCTTTGCCGTTGTTTTCGATGATGTTTCGGTCGTCGGCGGTCGTACACATCGTCTCTTGCTTTTGTGGGTCGTCGTCGTTTCGTCGAGTCGAGTCGTCGGAGCCTGCGGGGATTCCGCCCTTGGGACCTGGTCCGTCGAGCTGGGGCCCAGAGAAATCTTCCTCCTCCCCCTCCTCCTCCTCCTCTTCCTCCTCCTCTTCCTCCTCCTCCTCACCCTGCTCCTCCTCCGCCTCCTTCTTCTCCTCCTCCTCCTCCTCCTCCTCCTCCTAGAGCGGGTGCCATGCACGGATCGGGCCTTCCGGAGGTTCATCTTCCAGGGAATCCGTTTTCGGGCATCCAGGGTCGTCGACAACGACGTTCGGGGTCGAAATCGATGGACCCGAACGATTTCCGGGCCCCAGGGCCATCAAAAGCGCTTCCAAGAGTTTTTTGCATGCTCGCACGCTGGGGGATGTGTGCAGTCGCCCCCGTGGTGGAGGAATGACTAGGCTATACAGGCGAATCTCTCTCTCTCTCTCTCTCTCTCTCTCTCTCTCTCTCTCTCTCTCTCTCTCTTCAGGTCCTCGCAAAATTCTGCGCACCGTCCCCTCCCTCGCCCCCCCTCCCTCCCTCCTCCCCCGATGGTCGTCCGTCGTCGTCGTCGTCTCAGCGTCATCTCTGGCCCTCCCGCTCGACCCCTTCATCTTCATCCGCCTCGTCATCCTCCTCCTCCCCTCATATTCTCTCACCCCTCCTGTCTCCGCCCTTTTCACTCCTCCCTCTTGCGTCCTACGTGCAGATAAAGGCAGACTACAGCACATGCAGAAGTAGACAGGAACGAGGGTTTTCAATGATACGAGGCAGGAGAGATGGGCAAATATGCGTTTCGACTGTGCCCGCGGCCGCCCGCGGGGCAACCCCGGGCGCGGACCTATCAACTATCCGCTCCTCGCGAGGCAGCGCCCCCACTCACGGGCGCAACGCCTAAATCACGTGGCAGTGCAACATATGTAAATGAAAGGATATAAGAGAGCCAGGGCGTAACTCGACGCAACCCCGGAAGCGCTCCGTCTCCCTCGGACGATGCATGGTGCTGATTATGAGCTAATGGAGCGCGAGTGCGCAGTGGCACCGCGGCTGCCGCTGGGATGGCGCGAGAGCACCCTGAATATGACCCTGCGCGAGTGTGTTTTTTTTTGCGGTCTCTTTTGTGGCTTCTGGTGAACCTCGTGGGGCCTCTTGGATTTCCTTTGCGGCTCCTCGGGTATTCGGTTCGGAAAGTCTCGGGAGCTCCCTTTAGCAGGAGCCAGCCGAAGTTCAGTCCGCTGTCACAGTGCCCATTACGCAGCCGGTCTGGAGAATGACGTCCATGAGTTTGACGATCGCCTTCAAGTTCTCCGGCCACTTTGCGCCCTTCCCGACCCACCCGGCCTCTGCAACCGGCCCGGGGGCTTTCTCTCGAATCGGCGCGGGGAGGCTCTTGTAGATCTTGTTGTAGATATCGCAGGGCTGCCCCTCCTCCTTGGCGCGCGCCCGGGCCCCCATCTGAGTGCGCCTTTTCATCTCGCCGCGGACGTTCCTCGTGACCCGCGCGAGCAGCTCGGGCTCCGCATTCGCATAGCCCTCCGCTGACGCCGCTCGAGCGGCGATCTTCATTGTATTCTTGGCGGACATGAGCGCCTGCAACTGCTCGCTGCTGGCGCCCCGTGCCTTAGCGGACGCGATGAGCGTGTCCAAATATTTGAGGAACCGCTCGGGGTCGTGCAAGAGAGCTGTCTTGTGAAGCTCATCCGCGAGCGCGGCCAGGGCCCTGATGTCATCGGCGAGCTCGTCCTGCAGGGCAAGGTACTTGTCCATGGCGCCGAGCACGGCGCCCTCGATGGAGTTGTTGTTCTTGTTCCAGCGATTGATCAAATCCTCAGGCACGATGTCCTCCCACTGCGTCTCCGGTCGCAAGATGAACATAGCGTTCCTGTGCTTGGAATAGTGGCATTTCTTAGGGCGTATCTTACAATGCCCACTCTCGTCCATTGCGATGCATTGATGCTTCTCGCCGTCATCGAAAGCGCAAATTTCGTGGCAAGTTACGTGGCATTCCAAGCAGAGGGTAGTCTTGTCCCCATCAGGAACCGGCTCTTCCCTGACGATGACAGTGCTGACCCTCACCGTTTCGCCCGGGCTGGCGCCCACCGCCTCTGCGATCGCCCGCAGGTTGGCGAGGAGGCTCTGGGTCTCCTGGGCCGTGCGGAAGATCTTCTTCTCAGCGAGCTCGCACCGTTCCTCCAGCGTCATGCGTTTCGTGGTTACCTGCGTGCTCTTGCGCGTAGACACCGGCTCCATGCGCAGCAACATGTCCAACGCGCGCTTCTGGCCCGACATTGACATTTTCCACCAGTCGCGCACGTTGGCGTCGGTTGTGGACTGGGCTCGGAAAGCAGAGTTGTTTACTTGAGCGTAGCCTTTGTCCACGGGCCAACCAAGCGCTTTGAGATTGGCGACGGCCTGGGGTGCTCCCGCATCAGCGTGCGTGAGAACGGCACGGAGGCACCCATGCACATCCTTGCTGAAGAGCTGGAAGATGTGCGTTGCCACGGCAACCATGCTCGGGCTCGTCTTACCCTCGTTCGCCTTGCAGGTGAAGACTGCGGCGTTGACGTGCTCGATCATCTTGAACAACTCTGCCATGGCGGCGGTAGTGAAGTTATCCGCCTCGTGCCCCCTGCAATCGCCATAGCCAGGCGTGTCCACAATGTACAGCGCATGGCCCTGGAATCGGGGCCCGAGGGGCCGCAATCGGTACACGGTGATGCGCTGGGTGACGGATTGCGTCGGGTCGGCAGCGCGGTCATCGATCAGCATGATGCGGTGGGTGTCCGCGAGGTCGCCGCCCAACAAGAACGAGACGAACGCGTTGATCTCCGTTGATTTCCCGGCCCCCGTGGGGCCAGCAAACATGAGGACGAGCGCCCGCGCCTCCTGCTCGGGGCCCAGAGTGATCTCGGGCTTGAAGTCGGACGCAACGTCGGCCATGATGGCAGCCAGTTTTCCTGCGAACTTGCCGCTCTCGCGCGCTCTCCTTGCAACGGTACACGAGCCAAGGAAGAGCGAATCCTCCGTAGACTCCCAAGGCTTCTTGCCGCCGACCTTGTCAATCCATCCCCCGGCCCCGGTCAACTCGAGCCGGGCCATATTCTCATGGTAAAAAGCGATTATGTCCCTGGCGGCACTGGGCAGCTTGCCCGTCCGCTTGACGTTCGGAGGGGAGCGCGCCGAGAAGCCAACGTCGGAGCACGTCTGCACGCACACCTCGAAGTCCGTATTTGGACCCAGGGGGCCGAGTTCGCAGCGGTAAGCGCCCCCCTGCGCCCCCGGCACGCACTCGTAAGGCACTCCCGCAGGCGCATCCTTCCACTCGAACGCCGCGTATTCGTCGACGCTCTGATCGAAGGTGTCCAAGTCGGCGTTTGGGCGGGGCCGCCAGAGCACGCGAAAGCTGCGGGGGGGCATCGAGTCCTGCTGCAGCCACTCCCACTGGACATGCATGGTCTGCTCGTTGCACCGCAGCTTGACGTTGTCTGGGGGGCCGGGGAATAACTTGGAGATTATGCGGACCCTGCCATCCAAGAAGAGCACCAAGTCGCCGACCTCTGTCTTTTTCATCTTCTCGTCCGTCGACCAGAAGGGGATTCCCTTGTTCACGATCCCAACCCCATACTCAGCGTCGAAGCTGGCCGCCTTGTTCTCGACCTGGAGCGCCACGACGTCGGCGAAGGATTTTCTGCAGCAGAGACGCAGTGGAGCTCCGATGGAACCACTCTTCCTCCTCCTCCGAATCGCCGTCGACGGCGACGGCGTCGCATGTCAACGATGTCTCCAATTTGTGGCACGGGTTGTTGATGTCCTTTCCGGCCAGGGAGAGCAAGATGCGCGGCTTGCTGCTGCCGATGGCGGGCTGGACCTTGGCCACGGGGTCCATGTAGTTGGCAAAGCCGGTCTCCAACAGGAAATTGACAGTGGAAGCCAGCACAGCGGACTCCTGATTCTTCAGCTCCACGTACTTAATGGCAAGCTTCGTCTGGCGCGTCATGCGATCCACGGCGTGCTGGAGCTCAAGGGTGTCCTCGTCGGTGGTGCTGCTATCCCCGTCCCTGAGCTTCGGCACCAAGCCACGCACGGCAGTGCGGAAGGTAATGATGCAGGAATTAAAGGCGGTGGCGAAGTTTTTGCGCTGGGTCTCTACACATGGGAACGCATTCACTGCGACGCACAAGGACTCAGCAGACAAGTGAACGCCCTCTGCAGTCTCCAGAGCAGCAGATACGTCCTCCATGGTGCGCGCGTCGAGCCGCGTCACGACGCGGCGGGCCTCGGAGTCGACGAAGGACAGGGGGAGGAGCACCATCTTGAGCGAATTGTTCAGCTCACTCAACTTTGTGGGCAACTCCTTGCCGACCCGAGCCGCGCCCTCGATGGTGCCGACGGTTTCCTTGATGGCGCCGCGGACACTGATATCGGTGCCCTCGAAGTCTTCTTCCTCGCCCTCCTCCCAATCCATGCTCAGCTTGCCCGAAATGGGTGTGAAAAGCCTTGAGTTTTCCAGCCAGTGCGCCAGAAATCCGGGTCTGATCCTCCTTAGAGCTACACTTTCTAGTGAAGGTGATGCTGCCCGTCCCCCCCTCGTAAACCTCCGCGACAACATGCGCAACGCGAGGGTCGTCGAGGAAATTTTGAAACTTCATGTTTTTCAAGAGCTCCATTGGCATGTACCTTCTATGCTTGACAACGGTGCAGGACACGTCCACGCGGGCTTCGTGCTCGTGGTGCTGCGTGTTCTTCAGGTACTGGGCGGACCCGCTGAGCGCGAAGATGCCGAAGTCGATCTCCACGGAGCCTTCGGCGTCGAGGTTGTGGTGCTTCCGGAGGTCCTTCATGCTGGTGGTGAAGTCGAAGGTCGTGTCTGGGCATGAAACGACCTCCTGCCCCGCCTTGATGTCGTCGAGGCGCCAAAGGGAGATGCTTGGGATGATCCCGCCAGTGCGGGCGTTGTAAAGCTGGCCAATTTCAACCTGCTCCCCACGAGTCGACTTAGTGATCACGTTCTCTGCGGCACCGCTGGCCAATTCACTCGCAGCGACCATCTGGGGAATCAGACCTAATGCGACACTGGATATGGAATGCGCTTGTAAAAGATATGGAATGGGTCGGTGAACCTGCAGCTCGAGCCACAACTGTTACGGAGGCGCTTCGGGGCCGTCTTGGAGGCGCCACGGGGCCACAATTGTTAGGAGGGCGCGCCCGTCGCTGACGAGCTCAAGAAGGTCTGCACAGAGATCAACAAGAGCGTCCTCGAAATGAAAAATCTGACGGCCCGCCAGGAGGCCGTTTCATCGGCGGCGGCGCCAACGAGATCGCGGAGGCTCGTTCCGCTCGAGGGCCTGTGGAGATCTAGCAGCGAGACGAAAATCGGGAATCCAGGAGGCGCGAGCTGAGCTGGGCTGAATATTAAGGGGGATGGCATGGGGCATGAGAGATTGAAGAGTATATGGGGGGCAATGACACGTTCGCACTTCTTGCCGCGCCGAGGGCGCGCGCCAGCGAGCCAGACTCCGCGATGTGCTGCGCTTGCTCAATCTGACCTCCTCCATTCTCTCCGACCTATCCTTCTCCTCCAGTCCTCTCCGACCGCCCCTTCCTCTCCGACCTCCTCCTTCCTCGCCCCAATTGCTGATGCATGGGGCATGAGAGATTGAAGAGTATATGGGGGGCAATGACATGTTCACACTTCTCGCCGCGCCGAGGGCGCGCGCCAGCGAGCCAGACTCCGCGATGTGCTGGGCTTGCTCAATCTGACCTCCTCCATTCTCTCTCCTACCTATCCTTCTCCTCTCCGACCGCCCCTTCCTCGCTCCAACTGCTGATGCGATGCGCAGGTGTTCGTATAAGCGACGTGGCGCAGTACTGCTGCACGCGGCCGAAAACGCGTTCGCAAACCTGATCTTCAGGATTTGCACGCGGCAGCTGCAGAACACGAAGAGGGAGGAGGGAGGGGGAGGAGTGGGAGGTAGGAGGAGGGAGGAGGGGCGGAGTGGAATTGGAAGGGGAGGAGGGGGGCTGAGGGAGGCAGAGCTCCAAGTAGCACGAGGGGGACAGGATGAGGAGGGGGAGAGGGAGGAGGACAAGGAAGAGAAGATGATGGGGAGGTGCAGGGGCTAGGAGGACGCATTCGCATTCCTCAGGCCCCAGAATCCCCACCAGCAGGCACAGGAGGTATGTAAGAGTAGAGCCGAGCGAAATGCCAGAAACACTCTGGCGGCATCATGCCGAGCGGCCCCTCACGAGGCTGGATCTTGTTGGGGTCGACTTCACCGCGTTCGAAAAGTTGGGCCGCACTTACCCCGATCTCGTTGAACCTGTCGTAGTCCGAGAGCGTTGAACCTGTCGTAGTCCGATTCGGCGGTGGCGCTGCGGCAGATTCGTCGCAATGCGGCATTGCGACATCCTCGGCGTCGTCGTCGTAAGTGTTGGCGTAATACCTGGGGTCGCAGCGTTCTGACCCAACATCCCGCGTAGGATCCCGACCTCGAATCTTCGGCCATTGAACGATGCACTCTACGTCCCCAGGCGGCGGTTACAGTCGGAGAAGTCATGGTAGTACGTGTTGCCGACAATGCGCCGCTCAGGGAGTCGTCGTCGTTGACCAAGAAGTTTGGTTTCCGCGTTCTCTAGGTTCCGCATGCGTTGCCGTTGCAACTCCCGGAGCCGTCGCAGCAGCCCCGGAGGCGCTTCTCTGGAGCCGTTCGAGCCGCCGGAGGCAGCGCCCCGCGCCCCCGCGGCCGCCGAGCCCCCGAGCTCGCCCCGAGCGGCATCGTCTCCTGCAGCAGCAACCGCCAGCCCAAAATCCTGCGCGGTGTTTCCGGCATCTGCAATTGCTGAGCCTCCGCGCCCGCCCTCAGCATCAGCGTCTCTTGCTGGGGCAACCGCCGAGGCCTCGCGCTTGCCCTCAGCAGCATCGTCTCCTGCCGCAGCTCCTCCGGGCTGCCCCTGCTGCGGCTCGGGCTCTACCCACTCCTCGTTCATGGCCCGGGGGCGCGGCCGTGGGCCGCGATGGCTGTCGCGCCTGCCCTCAGCAGCGTCTGCTGCAGCAGCAACCGCCGAGCCTTCGCGCCAGCCCGCAGCAGCAGCGTCTCCTGCAGGAGCAGCGCCTGTCACAGCTGCGGCCGCCGAGCTGCCCGGAGGTGCCGCAGCCGCCAAGCCCTCGTGAAAAACGCGCAGAGCCGTCGCCAAGTCGTCCATCGCCCTCGCGATGGACGGGTCAGGCGCGCAACCTGAGCCCTCGCGATGATCGGGCGGCGTGCGGGGTGCACGTCTTGAGCCCGCGGGCGGCGCGCGGGGCGCACGACCCGACTCCGCGCGATGAATGGGCGGCGTGCGGTCCTTCGGTGCCGGGCTCCTCACGCGCGGCTTGCCTGCCGAGCTCCACTCGCCCCAATCGTCGTCGGAGTCGTCGAAGGTCGCTGGCGCTTCTCCCTGCCCCGGCCCCCAGGTATTGGAGGCCGAATGCCTCGCTGAATCGGCTGGCCGCTTCTTCGGCCGCGGTTCGAGTCTCGGATGCAGCATGCCCCAATCGTCGTCGGAGTCGTCGAAGGTCGCTGGCGCTTCTCCCTGCCCCGGCCCCCAGGTATTGGAGGCCGAATGTCTCGCTGAATCGGCTGGCCGCTTCTTCGGCCGCGGTTCGAGTCTCGGATGCAGCATGCAGGTGCCGCCCTGCCAGTCTGAGCCAAATCGGCTACAGAGGAGGCCGACGAGGGGACGAGGAGGATATGCGATCCTATGGGGCGTCGAAACGTGCGAGGGGCGTGCCAGAGTGGGCGGGGGTCCCCGTGCGAATTGAGTCATTGGGGCTCTAGGTGGAGCTCCCTATGCTATGGGGCCACGCAACGTGTGAGGGGTGTGCCGAAACGGGCGCAAGGCTTGACCCAGGAACGTGAGGCGGGGGGTCCTCCTCTTCCCTGCTCCCTACTCTCTGCTCCCTCCCCCTCCCTCCTCCTCCTCCTCCTCCTCCCCCATCCCCCTTCGAATCGCTCTCCTCCTCGGCGAGGAGGGCGCGCCCCCCCCCCATCCTCGCCCCCTCCCCCGCTAGCGTGAGTTACCGTGAGTTACCGTGAGTTACCGTGAGTTACCGTCAGTTACCGTGAACATGAACATGGACGGCCATCAAAAGCGCTTCCAAGAGTTTTTTGCATGCTCGCACGCTGGGGGATGTGCACAGTCGCCCCCGTGGTGGAGGATTGTCTAGGCGACTAGGCTATACAAGCAGCCGCCCGATTAGGCTATACAAGCAGGCGCCCGATTCATTCCAGGGGGAGAAGAAGGGAGAGGAGGAGGGAAATGGGAGCAAGGAGGATGACCGCTAGCCCGCTGGGACGGGGTGCCACGCGTCATCGACGTCGCGCCACTGCCCGTTGTCCTACGTTTGCGTGTGGACATACGCGCCCGCGCCATCGTTGTCTTGTCCTTGAACGCGCGTGAACCTGCTCATGGGGACCATGCGGATCGTCCTACCCATGTAGTCGTGGCCGACGTAGTCGCCCGTCACCGTGCTCCACAGCACGGTCGACTTCAGGTAGGGGGTGTTGTTGGGGCGTCGGTGGCTGCCCATGTAGCAGTCGAAGCTCACCGTGCAACCAGTTGGACTGAAATTCACTTCCCCGTGCCATGGCGTTCCGTGAGAAGTTGATTGCCATATCACTAAGGTGGAGCGGCTGTCGACCCACAGGATGCCCCGATGATGTCTACTACGGTCATCTGGGTGGCGAAGGCCGAGGTTATTGCATTCCCAGCACGTCAGGGTCGGGGTGGCCATCGCAAGCGCAGCAACGGTCTGAAGAGAAGCGCCCCAGGTTGGCCGTTCAATTGCTGCTGGCTCGGGGGCCAAAAATGGCTATGGAAGGAACGGGCATTTGGCATTTAGACATGTTGTAGTTTGTTGCCGCGCATCCTCCCCCTCCTCCCCCTCTCCCCACCCACCAGCTTTCTCCTCCCTCTCCCCGCCCACCCGCGCGGCTGGGCAGTGTTCCCCCCGCTTCCCTGGGAGCGTTAGTTTTAGTTTTAGTTTCAGCATTAGTTTTAGCGTTAGTTTTAGCTGTAGCTTTTAGTTTGAGCTTAGCTTTAATTTAGCTTCAACTCAGCTTTAGCTTAGCTTTATTTTAGTTTAAGTTAGCGCCATCTTAGCTTTAGCTTAGCTTTAGTTTAGTTTTAGTTTAGTTTTACTGTTACTACTAACGCTGCGTTTCTAGGGGATTCAATTCCCATGTTGGATCGCGCTGGCCTCAAGAGGCTCCCTGAGGCCCCATGAAGCTCCAAAAGGCGCCCAAGAGGCTCTCAGAAGTACCAGCATCCATGAGGCCTCCGACCCACCACCCACGCACGGTGGCGGGATGGGCCGACGGCCACTGGATAAATGCTGAGTGATTGGGGGGGGGGGAGAGAGAGAGAGAGAGGAGGGGCGAGGGCGAAGAAGGATCATATCAGTCGGCCGCAAAGAAATGTCCAAACAAATGTAAATAAATGCGGGAAGGATTCAGTGAGGGCGCACATCCTGGCAAGTGCGCGCGCAGGCGGACATCCGTTTGCAACCATTTTTCGATTTTCGCGCCATCAACTCGAATGACTCGGGCAGCTCAGGCATTGCAGTGCTCAATTCAGCGTCGGAATTGCGGCCCGTGGCGTCGTCGTCGAGGCTGGCCTGATGACAGTAGTGAGGGACAGTCACCCGTCTCCGCTAAGGAGTTGGCCAGTTCCTCAAGCGTGCGTAAGTACACGCGGTACTGCACATGCGGCCCCCTAGGCACTCGAAGAACACGGGTTAAAGGCGTCCCAGAACCGTCACTTCCGCCACCGGCCAGCCTCGCTGTCGTCGTCGCCGTGGTCGTCGTCGTCGTTGTCGTCGTCGTCGGGCTTTGTCGTCTTCGTCGTCGTCGTCGTCGTCGTCGTCCACGTATTCAAAGAGTGAGGCTGGGCCATCCACCCAGTCACTCACTCGTCACCCGTGGGTTCAAAGAATGGGCCTGGGCCAACCACCCAGTCACTCACTCGTCGCCCGTGTATTCAAAGAGTGAGCCTGCGCTAACCCTAATCA